GAATAGTATTAGGCTTTTCCTTACAATGTTCTGTCAATTTTATATGCTTCAATTAATTGAGGAGCCATCTTTAATAACATCTGTGTTCAATATTGAAGAGAAGTGTAAGGGTTGTTTTTTTTCAAGGTTTCCATCTAAAAATATTGATTTTCTGAATTGTTAGTAATTGCAGGATCAATTATCTGTTTTTATTTTTTATTTTTGTGAGTGATAAGGATTCTTCTTAAGCATTGTCTTGTTTTGCAATGTAGACACAATAAAATAAAAAAAGGATCACATGTCCATCTAAGATTCTGATCAAAATAAAAGTGGTACTTTGAATATTCATAATTATTATCACTTGAATAATAATTAATATTCAAAATATTTATGTATTTTGAATATTCACACTTAAGCAAGAGTGGTATTTAGTAAAATATTATTTTTAATCTTATAGAAATAATAATGAAGAAATGGATTTTATTCAATTATGGAAGATTTTTCTTAATATTAACATTTATTCTTAAAATAACACTGGTTATAATGTTCAAGTAGAAAGAATATTCTCTCAACAAAACTATAAAATGAGAATGAATATTGATATCTGAGTAATCATTTGCTGATATTATTAAATGGAAAAAGCATATAAGCATTGAAAAAGTAAAAAGAGCAACTATGAATGTTAAAGAAAATATTTTTATTTTTTCCAATTAAAGAATATGCACACTATTCCTCAACCCTTAGGTAATATTTGGATAAGTTAGAGATAAATATTAATTTTATATTATATTATTTATTTTCCAATAACTATAAGCAAAGTATGTTAATTAATGAATAATACTTTGTTGGTCCAAGTTCTAGATTTGGCACCCTCAAAGGATATGTCAATTGACTCAACATCGTCCAACCTCATCCTGCAGAGAATTACAAAAAGACGAAGGGTTTGTTAATTAAAGAACTTGAGGAAGCTACATGTAAACTTGATAAGTTGGACGCAGCAATCAATTGTTTAAAATACTCGATAATATAAATAAATGACTAACTTATTGAGTTTACATGTGTACGCCACCAAGTGATTGAATGTTTTTATTTGTTATATTATGATTATTTAACAATTGATATATATATAGTAAAACAAAGGTGAATTATTTACTGTATCATAGACAGTGTATTTTATTCGTCCCATTTATTTAGGAGTTGGTAGGGAAGAAAGAATAATACATCAATATTCACAAAGACTTTTAATAAGATATGTTAGACCAGAAATTACATTTGTTTTTTATCTCTCGCGTTTACTCCATCAACAATCGCTTTGTCGACAATCATTTCATCGGTACACATTTCGTTGACAGTTCATTTTGTCTGACAAGCACTTCACTGATCGTTAGTTTACACGTGATGATGGTGATGATATTGTCACTGACTATTTTGATTATAATAATTTGATGATAATTATTGTTTTAATAATGTGAATAGAACAAATTGACAATATGCTAATGAATAGTATTGAGATTTCGTTTGAATCAAAGCTCATGAAGTATTTCAAGATGCATGGAATTCAGTCATTAATATGTTTACAAACTAATTAGTATCCGATTTTCTTTTTCCTGATGCTTCTGAAATCATGATTTCCTAGATTCAATCAGGATTAACAACAACTAAACAAATTATATTAATAATCAATGCGTATGTTACATATGTTGTATATTGCGCTAAAATCATATGCGATTCATTACATCTTAAATGAATCATACATGCGGAAATGAAAATTATTTGTTGAAATAAGATGTAACAATTGGTTGTATTTAATTTTTCATTATCTAATAATTTTCACTTTTTTAAATGTTTTAAATGCTTATAATCTATTTCTAAATCACCTTGTTGAAGAAAATTAAAGGCTGTCTCGAAAGCAATTATAGGCATAGTGTTACTATTAAATTATTAACATCATTTTTGAAATTCTTCAACTATATTTCTTGAATTTTCAATTTCATTATTAAATATTTCATTTTCCAAAGGGAGAATTGCAGTTTCCCTCCAACTATTATTATCAGGTAATTTGGACATTTATGTCACGTGAATCTACTGTGAGGAGGATAGTAACCATATAGAAGACCCCCACCAAAAATCCGTTATGACAAACGTTTATAATATTAATATTAATATTAATAAAAAAAGGGGCCAGTACTTAATCCGTTGTAACAAAAAATTCGCTGTGGTGAGGTCCGCTGTGACAAGGTTTGACTGTAATAATAATCATATATAAAAAAAATTAGTAAATGATGGTTAAACGGTTAACGGTGCCAACCCCTAGTTTTGATCTGGCAAGAGTTTCATTATAATGCAATGATAACAATGCCACCTATTTCAGTAAATAAAAAAGAACGAAAAAAGAAAAGAATAGTAATAAATTTAGCTCAATGCTCACTCTTCAAAAAGAAATATCCAATCGTTTAGGGACCCTATTCACAATTTAATTTCTAAAAACAACCACATTAAATTTACCCACCCATTTAGGAAGGAAAATTTTTTAAAACCTTTTGATTTTTGACTTGGGAAAAAAATTAATTATGGACATTCTGTAATAATATTTGATATACAATTTCAACATTATCTCAAAAGTAGTTTTTAATTGGAAGACTTTCTTTTTTCTTGTTATATCAAATATAGACGTGATAAAAAAAATTGGTTTTTTTTTTATAATTTTTTATTTTATTTGTTAAATTTGTTAAAACTCTATTTATTTTAACTGTAGAAATAATGTAAAATAATAAAATTTTAATTTGTTAATAATAATGGTAAATAGTTAATAGAATAAAGCAAAATAAAAATATTAATGATATATTATTATATTATATACAAAAATAAATATTTGTTATGGTGGATATTTTCTCCAATCACGTGGAATATGCTTCAGGTTAGAAGCAGAACAACCACGTAAAGCCTTTACGGATGATTTTAAACGTTGTTGCCTTTCATTTAATAAACAACAACGAATAAATTCCAAGATGATAACATCATTAGCAAATACCATTTGAAGATTGTTGTTGTTGATGAACTGTCGAAGAAAATTCTTCTGATCCCCAATCATAGTCCAAAAAGCTATCGAAAAGGTCAACAAGGCTTGTTTCAGTATTAGTTGAAATAATAGGATCTGACAATTCTGTTGTTGTTGGTTGTATGGCAAATGGATTTGTGATGATGTCCCGTAAAGGTTCCTGAACTTGACGTGCCGCTGCAGGGACTTCTTGGAAACATTAATTTCTTGATGATATTGATTAAAATAATCATTATAATCATTATTATTATTGCTTTTTTTTACTTCTTCTTCTTTATTATTATCGTCATTATTAAAAGAATCTGAAGTTTCCAAGGCCGCGGATACTGCTGATCCGCGAACACCGTCAAGTAGGACTTTGTTCATCTCGGAAACGGAAAGTTGCGATTGAATTTCAGCAAGCTGCCCTAAAATCGTATCTAATTTAGCTGATAAAATTGAATTTTCCTCTTCTACAATTTTTAATCTTTTTGATAAATGTACATTTTCTTCTTTAAGAACTGTATTCTGTGACTCTAAATCAGTCATTTGTTTTCTTTTTTTATCCCTTGACATTTGTGCTGCATGTCGATTTCGAAGTATTCTATAATTGAATGAGTTATTTGTTATTTATTGGAAAGATTATTTTGTGATTAATCGATAAATGAAGAATGATAATATCATCATACCTTTCACGTTGTCTTTGTTCTTTTTCTTCTATACTTTCAGCTTTTCTCTTTCGACCGCCAGTAGTTTTCTTTTTAGCTTCTTCAACTACTGATGATGATGAAAATGAAATTTGACTGGCAGAAGTTAAATTATTGGAAGAGTTTGATGTGAGTTTTGTGTCCGGAATAATGTTTTTAGTAAATGTTGGTTGAATTGGTTTTAAGGTGGAGGAGGCTGAAGAAAGTATTTTGGAAGTTAAAGGAGCAAAGCATTCATTATTTGTCATGATAGGAGACGAAATTGCAGAAGAGGAAGAAGAAAATATTTCCGAGGTCACCAAGTCTTCATTCCAATTTGAGTAATCATTGTTGTGAGACATAGGACTCTCGTAACCGTTAGTATCATTGAAATGTTGATTTGGTGAAGACATGGTGACTTATTGTAATTTTTAATAATGCAGTTTGGGCCAGTTCTAACAAAAAGAAATATTATAAAATATTATTTAAAAAAAAATGAGAATAAGTTTTCTATTTTCTAAAAAAAGTTTAAATATTTATTTTATGAATTAAAAAAATGTGTTCAATTTTAATTGGATAGACTTTATCTTGATATATATATATATTAATATATACTCTGTCACAATAAAGTTTTAGTGCCAATCTATGATATTTTTAAAAAATGTTTTCATCCAAAAGGATTAATCATCCTGTAGCAAAAAAAGAATCATGCGTAAAGGCGATTTATTATCTTCCTACATAGAAAGTATTCATATTATCCTATGGCACAAAAAGGATAATGAAACTTTGTGTAAAGGCGTTGATTTTAGTAATTCAGTTCCTAACCGAGCATTACGAATATTAATATATTTAAATTCATTTCGTAATTATTTTAGAAGCTCATAATCATTATTATCATGGATACTCGTAATAGTATTCATTGTTACCGTGGTACTCATAATTGTTTTTATTTAATATTGTAATAATTACGAGCAAATAGGAACAGGGGTTACAGTGTTAAAAGGAACCCTAGCTTCGATTCACGTATCACGAATAATCATTGCCAATATCGATTAATCACAAAAAAAAAAAAAATCTATAAATTTTAACGTATAGCAAAAAGTGTTCATTACTATTTTACTATTACTGTTTATCTTTTACCCATGTCTAATACTAAACCAATAACAAATATAACTGACAAATTTATCCCAGTCGTTAACGCTGAAGTAAAAGAAGTAAAAGAGGAGGAGGCAGTTGTGGTAGAAGAAGAAGAAGAAGAAGATCCAAAAATTGAGATAGATGAAGGTAAAAAGTTTTTTTTCATAAATTAAAAAAAAAAAATTTTTTTTCCAATTATATAATTATTATCATCATACAATAGCGTGTGGCGAAACACCTTCTTGTAAACCTTTAAAACATCATTTAGAAGAATGTAGTAAACGAGTTGAAACAGGAGGAACAGATGAAAATTGTAATTATTTGAGGCAATTAATATGTTATGATGACATGATAAGAGAAAAAATTCTTATTATCATCATCATCATTATTATTAATATACTGTGAATAAAAATTTTATAAATATTTTTTTTTGATGATTTTTTTAGGTGTTGAAGAACTTCTACATTTCTTGCATTGTGTTGATCATTGTGTAAGTATCATTCATCGTTAATTAAAGTGTTTTATTGTTTGGTTCATTATTAATAACATACCAATTAAAAATTTTTTGATTGATTAGTCTGCACCCAAGCTTTTTGCTAAATTAAAATAATTAAATTATAAATAAATTTTTATTTTTTATACATTTATATATAGATTATATACAACAACACCACAATCTTCTATTTTTCAACATGGTAACTTTTGCTACAGATTATTGGGCTCCTGCTCTCGATAGTAAAGCTCGTCGTCGTATGACTGATTTAGAAGGAAGAGCTGTACAGGCAATGAAAAAGAACTTATCAAGATCAACAGTCGCTTCAAATTCAACTTCAATCACCTCAACAACATCTCAATCTTTTAATTATCCTTATCACAATAATAATCCAAGAAGAAATAATAGTTTACCGGTTGTTAATGCAATCAATCCGATTCAAACACCCTTTCAACATAACAAACCTGTTATAATTTCTTCTAGAGGTTCAGCAGGAACTTCGCCAAAAAATATCAGTTCAATTCCTACTGCCACCCAAACTTCTTCTTATTCTTCTTCTTCTTCCGCCTCCTCTTCTCCTTCTACCCCCTGCACTGAAGTTGGATCTTACATTAATCATTTCCATGATAATAAAGCTGATGAACACTCAATTTGCAGCAGTATAGAGATCGTCCCCAACAATAATGATCACACTAATGGACATACAGAACATAAAAAAAAGAATTTGGTTCAAAGTGTTCAAAAATTATTTATTCACGATTCAAAAGTCAACATACAATTATCACCTAAAGAGGAACTGGAGGAATTCAATTTCAAAAATTCACACGATAATGTTTCAATTTTTAAGGGAATCCTCCATCCAAAACTTGGTGGTGATTCAAATAATACCAACAATCACAACGATATCCATTCTTATCATAGTAATAGTGATATTGGTATTGCAATGGTTAGAAGTGATAGTAGTGTCAGTGGTGGCAATGACAATTATAGTAAAAGTGCTGAATGCGAGTCTTTATTATTGAAGAAATATGGTGTTTGTGATAAAAGTTGTATTGGAAAAGGTGCTACTGCTGTTGTTCGACTTCATCATAAATTTGATAATTCAGAGTGTGAGAGAACTTACGCTGTAAAGGTAATTATGTGCAAGCAAATATTATAAAATATTGTTATTATAAATAAGTTACTAATAATTATAATTATATTATTATATTGCTTTTACACCAATATAGGAATTTAGAAAGAAAAGAAAGAATGAATCAGAAAAAGACTATGTAAAGAAACTTACAAGCGAATTCTGTATAAGTTCTACTTTACATCATGTTAACATTGTTAAAACTGTTGATTTTCTTCAAGATGACAATCATAATTGGTGTGAAGTGATGGTAAATATCTTTCTCACATACATAGTTATATATTGCATCTTTTGGGAAAAGAATAATCAATAATTGTAAAGTACATAAATTCATTATCTCTTTCTTCCTCCCATTCTTTCTTTCTATTCCTTTCAATAGGAATATTGTGCTGGCGGTGATTTATACAGTGCAATAAAAGCAAGCCATATGACTTCGGTAGAAATAAATTGTTGTTTCAAACAACTTATAATGGGTATCAGTTACCTTCATTCAATGGGTGTTGCTCACAGGTAATTAAAACTTTTAAAGAATTTTTTTTTTTAATTAAATATATATTCAATAAATATCTATATGATGTAAAAATAATTTATACTCACAACTATATACATAATCTATTTTTACAGAGATATAAAGCCTGAAAATTTATTATTGGATAAGAATGGTCACCTAAAAATCACTGATTTTGGTGTATCAGATGTTTTTAGAACATGCTGGGAAGAAGAAGTCCACTTTTCAAAGGGCTTATGCGGGTCAGAACCTTACATTGCTCCTGTAAGTTTATATCAATTATATATTGAGTATTAACTAAATTGAATAAAAATTAATTTATTAATTAAAATTTATCTTGCTTCTTCCCCAAAATATTTATAGGAACAATTTGAAACTAAAGAATATGATGCAAGATTAGTAGATATATGGGCATGTGGGATAGTCTATTATTGTATGATATATCAAGGCATTCCATTTAGGATGGCAACACCAGCAGATCCAAACTATGCAAACTATTTAGAAACCAAAAATTTGGGATTGTATGAACCATTCGAAAGACTGCCACGTGGCTGTCGGGATTTAATGTTTCGCATTCTTGAACCTGATACCAAACTACGTATAAGAATTGAAGAGATAAAAAATGATGCTTGGTTCAAGACTATAGAGTCATGTTCCGAGTTTGATGAACCAGAACCAGAATCAGAATTGGAGTCATCAAAATCTACAAAGTCATCGTCAGAGCCTTCGTCACGGAAACGTACCTTGACACAAGAACATAAACATCTTCCCCCAACGTGTTTAAAAGAAATTCAAGAGAAGGACGGGAAGAATGGTGCGAAAGATAATCATAATGATAAGGACAATTAACAATCAAACAAAAGTAGTTAATAAATTAATTAATTTTTATTTTATTAATATTAAAAAAAAAACTTGTGTATATTTAATAATTTTTTTTTGAATTTTCTTCAATTTTAAAACTTCCCAATTAATTTTGTTTTTTTTTTTAATAATAGATTTTTATTTGTAATTAATAATAACAATAATAAAATTATAGATTTCTTTTTTAAGATATAATATACATATATCTGTATATTGATATATTTATTTATTTATTTCAATTATCAAAATTATGATTATATAGCTTTCATGTACAGAATTTATTTATTTATTTTATTTATATTAAATCAAAATATTCTCATTAAAACTTCATTTAATAATTTAATGATTTAAATTATTTTTTATGTTTATGTACACAATTTATTTATTTCCAACAAAGAAAATAATTGAAGCAGCTCCGCCCAATGATCAGGAAGAATTGCATGTGGCCCTATGATGTGGAAG